AGTTATTAAACATCTTTTTATAGTAATAATAATAAAAATAATTTTATTAAAATTTATTAAAAAATATTTAAATTAATCAATTTTCTGGCACAAAGTGTCTGTGAGGACACTTCGTCTAAGGACTAGCCGCCCCAGTCTTACGTTGCCATGTGATTAATTCCTTTTGTAACTAAAAGATCATAGTTTTTTAATTATTAAAGATGCAACTCAAAGTTAACCAAACTATATTTAAAGTGTTTTTACTCATATATTTCTTCTTCTTCTAGTTCCATGACCGCTATCGATCGTTGGATATCATGTTGGCTACCATATTCGCTATCGTGACTTTATTGACAGCAGCTCTAAATAACGATGTAGTTGATTTTCCATACCATTGCCTTAGATTTTTCAGCCATGATGTTCTTCTTCTACCAGGACCACGATTACCTTGGATCTTTCCCTGAATGATCAGATGTAAAAGATCATATTTTTCAGGGTGTCTCATAATATGACCGAAGTATTCCAGCTTGCGTTTCTTTATTATATTGACCAGTTGTGTTGTTTGGTTCAGCCGTCTAAGGACCTCCTCATTTCTAACTCTGTCGACCCAGCTTATTTTCAGTAGTCGTCTGTATACCCACATCTCAAAGGATGTCAAGCGTTTAAGCATAGCCTCAGTTAGGGTCCACGCTTCTACTCCATACAGCAGGACAGGAAAGATGTAGCAAGATATCATACGAACTCTAAGGTCAATGCTAAGATCATGACTGCAAAGTACGTTTCTCATTTTTACAAAGGCAGCTCGGGCTTGTTCTATTCGGCTTTTAATTTCTGCGGTTGGATCCCAGCTCTCATTGATATTACTGCCGAGATAGACGAGTTTCTCTACTCTGTCCAGTGTGGCATCTCCGACTTTTATACCGTCATCATGTATATAATTTTGTTTGCTAACTATCATATATTTAGTTTTCTTAACGTTGAGTTTTAATCCATACTGATCACAAGTCTGTTTTATTTTGTTCATTAGATTTTGAAGGTCTTCTCCGCAATTGGCAAGGACTAAGGTATCGTCGGCATATCTAATATTGTTGACGGTTACTCCATTCACAATAATACCTTCGGTTGTCTAATATTTAGTGGTTCTAAATATGTAAATCCAGATAGCACTGATGATGGATTAGTTATTCCGAAAACGTTCTGTAATGTAGCCCGATAGGGTTCTTATTATTATACCTTTTATAAAGGAATTTTTAAATAAAATTTTGGTATACAGCCAACTACAGGAATTTAGTTTTCTTGAGGAAATTAGTAAATGTTACGTGTTCTCTCGTCTTTTATATCGTATCGAAGAATGGACTTTAATGGATACACTTTTAAGAAAACTTAAAGCCTTTCAAATCTGCTTGTATCGGAAAATCCTACGAATAAGTTGGATACATAGTCCGTAACGGGGTTGTTTTGCAGCGGATGGTAAAAGTTACTGAAGTGGTCAGAATAGTTAAAAATCGCAAACTTAAATTAAACCTAATTTAATCATCATCATCATCATCATCATCATCATCATCATCATCCAGCACTTTGCGTCCACTGCTGGACATAGCCTCCCTCATTTTTGTCCATTGTGCTCTGTCTTGAGCACTTTTCATCCAATTTCTTGACATATTCTTGAGATCGTCAGTCCAACGAGTAGGGGGTCTTCCTCTACTTCTTTTGTCTAACCTAGCCTCCACTCAAGCAATCTCTTCGTCCACCTTTCATCACTGATTCGGGCGACGTGTCCGGCCAGTTTCATTTCAGTGTGGCAATTCGGGAAATTACATCGGTAACTCCTATTCTTCGTCTTAAGTCTTCATTTCTAACTCGGTCACGAAGCGATATACTTAGCATTGATCTTTCCATTTTCCTCTGAGCTACTTGCAGCGTCCTAGAATTTGTAGCTGTCAATGTCAAAGTTTCGGCAACATAGGTCAAGAACGGTTGACTACATAGGATAGTTCCATCGCCCAAATTTGTCTGTCACTGCAACACGCGGCTGTGACGTAGGTGTGGGGATGACAAGCAATTATCGACCTTATTGTTACTATTAACTTTTATGAAGATGAGCTTAATTTGAGATTAAAAAGTTTAAAACGAAAAATTTACGTTTTGTTTTTGTAAATAGATGGCAGATAATCAGATTTTTAACAGTACCTAAGACATTCAGATTTATAAATTCGTAATGATCTGTTTTACATGGCAAATAAAATTTATTTTCGAAATGAATGCATTTGCTAGTGTTATAATTAAATTAATAAATGTCAGTTTACTCTCAAAGTAAATATTTCTGGTAAATAAAATCTATAAATCCGTGTTTTACTTACGTAGTCAGAGCACAAATTAATATCCAAAAACATTTGATGATAAATAAAACTATTCAATACTGAACTATTTATTTCATTAAACATACATAGGTAAAACTAAACAGTATACAATACTAGGAAACTTTAGAAACATTCCCTACCGAACAATTTTATTTAATTTTCTAATTTTTGACCTAGTTGAATCCAACACGGATAAGTTTTTTTGCTTCAAATTTTCAGCTTCATTGAATTTTAAATTTCTATAATTTATTCAAATTATTGTTCTAAGTTTACAAAGGTTTTTAGTAAGCGCATATGGCAACACTTTTTCTTTTTTTAAAATCCTTTTTGAAATGTCTCCAACAACTCCATTATTTTTCCTATAGGTATCAATATATTTTTCATAATATTTATTCCATAATTTTATTTTTATGAACCACTCATCTGTACGCTTGATAAGACCTCCATAAGAGAGTTAGTGCACCCATAATGGTAAACTATAACTATGTTCACTAACTTTGGAGATCAGAAGGATTTCAGAAGAATCCTGAAGATCCCATGGACAGAAAAAGTCACCAATGACGAAGTACTGCGGAGGATGAACACAACCGCGGATTTGGTCAATATTGTGAAGAGCCGTAAGCTGGAGTACTTGGGACATATTATGAGAAATCAAGGCAGATACGAGCTACTCCAATGCATTTTGCAGGGTAAAATTGAAGGAAAAAGAGCCCCAGGACGAAGAAGAATATCCTGGCTTGCTAACCTGAGAGCATGGTATAGAAAGACCTCAACACAGCTATTTCGTATAGCAACCAACAAAATCATCATAGCCAGAATGATCGCCAACATTCGGAACGGACAGGCACCCCAAGAAGAAGATCTTTAAATTTTTTTGCTAAATATCCAGCGATGTATTCTAAGGCATCTTCTGTAGTTTCCTGCAAATCACTGACAACACAATATGAGGTGGCAGACTGATTAAAAGATGATTCTTGGGAAGAGAAAAAACTACTATGGTTAGATTCATCAGGTTCTTCTATTTTTTCTTGAGGAATTTTAAAATTGGCTTTTTGAAATACTTTTGGACTAATATATTGATCCACACTAAGAAAGAAGTGCAATTTGGTTTGTGGTTAACACTTTATTTAACAAAATTTCAGCAAAAGTTTCAGATTTTTTTGATTTTTTCTGAACATTCATATTTTTGCTTTAGAATACCTCAACTGACTTGTTAAACTTTTTATTTTCATTTGACTCTTTTTCTTCAAATTGGAATGATCAGCTATTAATTTTTCATACTTGTTTAATAATTCGTTGTATTTTGCTTCAAAATCTACTTCAGGCTTTAAATCTATATTGTCACCAGCTTGTTCAAAAATTATTTCAGATTCAGTAATAGTATGTTCATGTTGATTAGATGCAATATTCAAAATATTTGAATCAACCTTTGTAATTTCTGCTACGAGTTTCTTTCTGTTTCTAACATCTAATCTACCTTCAGGAGTAGAGACAGAAGGTGTATCAAAGGTATGTTTATATAAAAAGAGTGTTGGAACTGCAGTTTTCTTTAAAAGGCGTTTAGTAGGTAAACCTAAAATAAGTTACTAAAAAATTTTATAGGCATTTTATTGCTTTTTTATTTTACCTTAATAATTCATTTTGAAGATCTCATTCATAGTCATTGTTTGTAAAATGAACAGAGCATATTCTACTAGAATCAGGATTAAAATTATCAGCTCTTCTGCATCGGTTAACTCATTCAGCCCTTATAGTTTTCGACACTAAATCCTTTCCTTTTGGAAAACTGAAAAATAACAGGCATATTCTTGGTTTTCGCACTCTTAAAATTATTGTCACAACCATATATGGCACATATATTACCACCCATTTTATTTATACAAGTAAATTGATATAAAAACAATAATCAAATAGTCTCATAAGACCGATAAATCGCTAGTACGACGAAAAAATTGGCAGCAGGCACAACTATTCTATATAAAACAATAAGAAATGTCAACCACGAATCCCCACGCCTACGTCACACTCAACACAACTCATTTCTTACATTAGAGCATAGGACAAAATCAGTCCTATCTGTGTTTAGTGTCCCTGACCATAGGTCATCACAGGCAACACACATTGATCAAATGTTTTACGTTTCAAAAAAATTGGTACATCGTTTTTAAAAATGTCTTTGAGTTTTCCAATTTAATAATACAAGACAAAATAGACGAAAGAAGATGGCCAGGTCGACGAAGAACGTCAATTTGATAGCCAAAGTACGATAATTGAGCAGAGTTCAGAAAGAAAAAGACGATGAAATGTGGCGGTTTTCTTTGAAAAGTTAAGTCGTTTAACAGATCCTCCAGAGCTGGGCATAGAAATAAGAAGAAATAGTAAATAGTTAATACCGTGCAAAAAATATTTGATCAAGTTGATTTTAATTAAATCAGTTGATCAGTAAAGTTGATCAATTAAATATCCTTAAGAAGGAAATTAAATTATCTGATAAATAAACCATATGTTCATGACTCAAAAAATTCTGATTTGTGCTTTAAGTAGAATTTAAATGTACTTATCCGATAAGCAATCAACGTTAAGTATATTTGAAATACAATATTATATAAAAGAGATTCACTTATAATATAACAATACTGTTTTGATACAATAATTTTGATAATGATTCTGTTAACATTGCTTGTTTGTTCTTTTGCTGCATTGGGTAAGAAATATTTTTATATAACCTATTGAATATTGCTTTCTAAATATTTTTTGGGATTTTTATTAATTCTGAAAAATGTATATTTAAATATTTCAGTTTAACTACCTGGACGAAATGTAGTATATGTATGGTCTATCTTCATAGGTTTCTCTCAGGCTATTTCTATTCATTCCTGCAATGGTCTTTTGTATATTCCTGTAATCTGGTCAATGCATCTTGTTGTAGATCTTCCTCGTAGTCTTCAGTATTTTACCTGAATTACTTTTTTATACTATAAAATTCGGAAAACATTTCAGTGGCTTAGTTTTACTTTTTAGTGTCCAACCGTGATCATTTGAGCTCATCCATCGTGTACAGAAATGGGCGTTGGTTGTATTAGAGCAGGTGGTTGATGTCCTTTAATTTTCATAGAGCTAAAATGATCGTGCTCTGTTGAGTTTCACAGCGGCCCCGCCCGATCTCATTTGGTTCTGTATTGCCAATAGAGGTTCACCTAAATGCTGTAAGTCGTAGTGTAAGTGCTCTTTCAGGCACCTTATTGCCATTCGGTACGTTCCGTTTACGGCACGTCCATTTCTTAGTTGTGCCGATCTACTCCAGACAGGACATACTCCCCGTGGAGAAGCTCACATCCTTAGATGTTAGGAGAACGTTTAGCTGAGTGCGCCGGTACTTAGAGTATACAGTTTGCAAAGTAGATTCTTAAGGGATGCTACCTCTTTGTAGTGTTTTAGTGTTCTTTCCAACTTTACTTCAAAGTATTATTGGATACTTCACATATTCCATTTGGTATCCGATCTATTGGATCTTCAGCTCGGCTCTAAGTACTCGGCAGTTTTAATGATTGGTTGTCTTTAGTGTACACGTTAAGCAGCAGCTATAATAGCACCCCATCATGATCTGAGCCATTCTTCTGGTTTCGCCAGCGGCTTTTCTTTCCCTCGAAAGAGACATAGAACTTACTGTTTTCAAGCAATTATTTTACGACGATTGTGAATTGTTTGTCTTTTGTCAATGCTCTGGCCTTTTCAATCTGTTGTCATACACTGCTGTTAGGTTCATAAACGCCACACATGTAATTAGTTTGCCTTGATAGCCGTGTTCTCTATATTTAGTGAGATAAAGGACTTGACTAGTGGAGTTCTTTTCCGGTCCGAACCTAGCCCGTTAGTAAATGAGAATTATTTCGTAATGTTTATACAGGTGTCATAGTATAGATATTGGACTGTAACTACTGGCAACATCAGTAGGTTTGCCTGGTGTGAACAGGGCAATAACAATGGTTTATTCCCATATATAAAATAATTAGTATGCATCCTTGTCTGACACGTTGGTCAGCATGAAATTCATAGAAAAGTGTGTTGCGCACTTATACTGATCTAGTTGTATGGTTGTATAGGTCACCAAAGGAAATAATATATTGCCTAGTTCACTAATATTGAATTTTCTTGATTTTTTGATTAGTTGTCTCATGTTCAAAAGTGTTGTCATGTCTTTTTTCTCATCACCATTATCTACAACTTGTATGCCTTCACTGCTGGACATAGGTCTCCTCAGCTCCTTCAATTTGTCTCTGTCTTGTGCGGTTTGCATCCAGTTACTGCTATCACTCTTCAGTTCATCAGTTCATCTAGTTGGTGGACGTCCTCTGCTCCGTATTGCTTCTTGTCTTGGTCTCCACTCGACAATACGTTTTGTCCATCGGTTGTCTGATAATCTGGCGACGTGTCCTGCCCAATTCCATTTTAGCGACGCGATTTTTTGATGACGTCTGTTGTTTTTGTTCTACGACGTATTTCTTCGTTTGGGATTCGATTTCTCAGAGAGACACTCAACATCTGGTGTTCTCAACAACTATTTCCATAGCCCTCTTACTCACGCGAATCTTATTCACTACCTTTTTGGTAAGTGTTAATGTTTCCGCTTAAGTTAAGTCATTATGATGTACATCAAAAATACTGGAAACCCTACTGATCATGGGAATAGGATACCAAGATCCGGCAGAGTGAGAAAAACACAAGACTACAAGGCTCACTTGGTAGTAAACATGCGAAATCCTTATACCAGAGCGCAGAAACCAACAACTTTAAGAGTTGCATCGTGGAAGGTTAAAAGTTTGTTCTCTGTAGGAAAACTGGATAATGTTGAACAAGAAATGAATAGACTAAACATCGATGATTTAAGAATTAGTGATACACAATGGCCAGGATATGGGAAGTGTTCAATATATTCAATATGTTCAATGTATTCAGTACTTTGCTTCACGGTATTGAGACATGGACTCTTAAACAGAGGGATGTTAAAAATGTTGAAAACTTTAAGATGTGGTGCTACCGCCGTATACTACAAATAAGTTGGGTGGATAAAATTACAAATGAAGAGGTAATACGCAGAATAAATAACGATCCAGAAGTTATACTGAATATAAAAAAGAGAAAACTTGAGTACTTAAGCCACCTCATGAGAGGACAAAAGTGCACATTCCTACAAAATATAACGCAAGGAAAAATCTAAGGACGCAGAAATCCAGGCCGTAGAAGAATGTCCTGGATGAAAATTTTAAGAGAGTGGTTTGGCTGTACCACTAACGAACTATTCAAAACAGCAGTTAATAAAATTAGAATCGCCGTAATGATATCCAATCTCCGATAGCAGAGGCACTCAAAGAAGAAGAAGAAATGTTTCTGCTCCATAGTGAGTACAGGTAACACACATTGGTCCATGATTTGTTAGTGACTCGTTATCTGGAGTGCCATATTTGAGTGCTAAGGCGCAAAATTAATTTAATTTCGGTTCCTTTTATAGTCCTAAGCATTTCAGCTGTTTAGATCTGTATCTGGTGCCTTGTTATTAAAATAAATTTTCAGTTTTAGGCAAACCAAATCTGGGAGTGGTGGGCGGAGTCGATGCCGTAAAAGGGGAATTCCCGTATATCGTAGCACAACTTGCTACGAATGAAGGACATGTCGATCTACATTGTGGGGGAACCATTGTCGCTAAAAGTTGGTTCGTCACTGCAAGCCATTGTGTAGAAATTATGTCACCCCTAATTACGGTAGGTGTATAAATAAGACAGAATTATTGTTTTTGTTAAATTCTGAATTCGTTGAACACTATTAATTGTAAATAATTATTGAAGACTCTTACTTGTAACAAAATTGTTTTATAATGAATCTACGTAGAGAAGTATACTCTAGAAAGCTAAGTTTCAAATAAAATGTATATTTATATGTATATAAAAAAAAGTGCACTGGTAAGTGAATGGGATGTTTTCGGTCAATTTGGAGATAAAAAAGACAAGAGTTGTGCTACTTTATCTATTTATTGAAGACGTTTCGCCCACTGTTTAATGAGCATCATCAGTTCATCTAAAAGAGTGTTATTAGCGATACATCTAATATGAGAAACAATTAAGTAAATAATCTTACCTTTAAAAGATCTGTAGCGTCTACATCAAAATAAGGCAAATATTAATCTAGTAAATACAACAGCAAAAAAACAGAATCACAAAACGCCGTAAGATTCCCAATTTATGTAATTTTATATTAATTTTTTAATTTAACTTTTGACAACATTGATTGATTATAAAATCTATCAAAAAATGTAATTGTCAATTTTGAAATATTATATTAACAACGGCACGGCTCAGGGTTCTTGACTGTTATGACCATAACATGCGAAATGAAGTATAAAAACGTCAGAAAAATATATATAACTATCTGGCTGAGTATAAACTGGGACACTTGTCCAATTTACGAAATAATGCTAAAATTATGATATAATAAAAGAAACTGAAGAAAAAACCAATCATTAAAAGTAGAATACGGAAAAATCAATTTTGTAGTATTAGTGCATGGTAAATTTGGCTTAAGTTGCTGATATCAGTTCTCTTATTTAATGCATTAGTTGCATGGTTGTTTCAAAATATGACACATCTCCTTAAACTGTCTCTTATTAAGGTTACGTTCTGTACAGAGAATTCTAACATCATCAAAAGTCACAGCATGTTTGGTGTTAATTGCATTTTGTGCAAGGCCACAGGTATGTTTAGACAGTTTAATGTCACTACGATGTGAAGTAAGGCGTCCTTTAAGGGAAGGGCCCGTCTGACCAATATAATATGCATTACATTCAGAGCAGGGTATGTGATAGACTACATTCACTTGCTCCAAAAAAGAAAGTTTTAGTATTAGAAAACAAGTGTCTGGCAGTCTTAGCATTATTGACAGCAATCTTAACCGGGATATTGCTCTGTTTGTACAATTTAATAAGCTTTTCAGTAACATATGATAAATAGGGTAGTGAAGAGTAATGGGTGGTGGAAGTTACAATTTTAGGAGAAAGTAGATTACTGTTATTCATAATATTATTAGAAATCATCCTTAGTTGATTATCATCAGGTAAATAATCAAGCTTATTATTTAATTTTTAAATTCCTGGGTTTGTCGGTCTGTTATAAATAAAATCAACAAGTAGCCGAAATGTTTAAGCAATAATTAAGTGTTTCATTTATAACAAACCCAGAAGAAGTTTCTATATTTGTATATATATATATATATATATATATATATATATAAATGTGATATTCCAAGTCTTAAGTGCGCCAAGCAATTAATTAGCTAATTAATTAAATAATTAAACTTATTTAAATGATGTAATTATAATTCTATCACACTATTTAATTCTCTTATCTCAGGGTTATACTCGTGTTTCAATATGCGTTACATGTGAGAGGTAAGGTCCAAAGAATACCGGAATAATAAAAAACATATATGATACAACACTATATATTAAAATAAAAATATATTGAAATAAAATTCACACTCAAATATCTTCAATAAAAATATCTCATATAATGATTATCAAAATTTTATTCTACGTACGTGAACCTTCAAAATTAATGGTACATACAATATAAATTAAAATCTCAAATCAAAATTGTTATTCTAAATCTCTTAATCAAATTATTTCTATCTTTCTGAAGCAATTGTAAAAATTGTGTTGTTAATAAAGAAATACTGATGAATAGCAAAACTATCTCTCTCTGATGATGAGTTGTCCAAATCCTTGTTCCTTGTAGCCTACACTATCTATTCTTAGCAGTCCCCTAGGTAGTCAGCAATCTTACAACAAATTGTTGCGAGTTTATCGTATTTAATTATCTCCTTCAAATGCACGTATCGTTCAAATTATGCTAGCCTCTTCTCCTCTCGATAAACTGAATCTCTCATTGGCCTGAACAGTGACTCTTGCAATATAAGTAGAAAATATAACTTAAAATATTTTACTGGATCAGATTCTGTCAGATACACTATCCACGAAAACTCACAAACATTCACTTCTACTGCTTCCTACCTCTGGGGACCACCCGAGAACAACCACCGTTCGCCTTGCACCCTTGGAAACCAACTAACTATTTTTTCTTCCTCAAAAAACTAGCTAAATTCTCATTCTTACAAACCATATCCCACTTTTCAATCTCCTCCAATCAAAGCTCGCCACAATTCCCCATCTCTTCATTTAGACAACAAACAATAATTTTACCTACAATTATAAATTTCCTAAAACTATTAACATCGGTTAATCGGTTTCTACAAATTCTTAAGAACTAACTGAGAAATATATTTCTAAACATCTGTTCTATTGTCCTAATTACTGTACAAGTCCATATGGAAAACCCGCTTGCATTGTTCATGTCTTCAGTAATGTCACTAACGTCACTTGAATATATTTTACAAAGAAAATAATTTATGCATATCTTAAAATTTTGTTTATTACAGGTAATCCAAAGATAAAGGATATTCACTTCTTCGAAATATCTTTTGTAGTTTATTAGTCGAATTATCTAAATTATTTTTATTTCGTACTTTGAAATATATTAAGCAAACCAATATTTTTCTCGGTTTTACATATCATAACAATATACATATGAGATATATATGACTGAGACCTGAGCACACAAGCATTTTTTACTACACTAAAGCAGTTTACTGTTTTTAGGCAAATGCAGGAATAATCGACCTTAACGAGAATGATGTACAACAAAGAAGAATAGTGAACTATACAATCAATCCAAATTATAAAAGAAATCCGTAAGTATTCATATTGTTTGGACTTTTTTTAAATTAATCAACCAATAAAAAAAATTCCTAAGATATTTGTTATTGCAGCTTTATTGCAGTATGTTTGATACAAAGAGGTATTGATTGATTGATGATACAGCATACATTCGCTATATTGTATGATAAGGTACAAATCGTCTCATTGTAGCTCATATATGGCCAACTTGATCGTATCGGGTAGTATGTTTTAAATCAACTGAAGGTAATCAAATAGGCCATATTTAATGCCAAAAAATGAAGAAGCGCAATTTAAGATGTCAGTTGTAACCGTGGTACAAATGCAGATTCTCATAACTTTCTAGTAACAGAAAGTCTGGAAATAAAAATAATTAGAGATATAAAGAAAAGCACTAAAACAAAAAATTCAAAGGTTGGAAAATTTATTGGTTATTATTTATTATTTTTTTATTTTTGTAAGCTTTGTCCATAAAATTGTACAATTTTTAGGGACAATAAAGCATATTTCTCTTCTATTGTAAATATTACCGCCGTCTCTAATTCATATACCTCGGACTGCCTTTTACAAGGCAATGTTAAATAGAAGGCAACCAGGGCATCCCCTTATCCGAGTCCATCCTTTATCTCAAAGGATCGAGAATTTTCTCCCTGTATATAAGTTATGGATAAGTTTTTCTGATATAACAAACTCACGCATTGATTGGTATAGTACTGTTTTCTTAACACTGTCGTACTCGTATATTGTTCGGTCTTAAATCGACGAATAGGTGATGGGTTTCAATGTTAAATTCTAATGTTTTCTCGAGGATCTGTATTATTGACTGAATCTGGTCAATCGTTGATCTTTTGAAGTAAATCCGGGCAGGTATTTTACTGTTTATGTTTCACTAGACCTAAACTGACGTTATCTCGTAAGGACAGTAATCTGAAGTAGCTTTGCATTTCTTTAATATCGTCTTATTGCAATTTTGGCAATCTAATCGTAACCCGATGTATCTTTTGTTTTAAATCGATTTAATTTAAAAGCTTTGAAATGAGATATAATCTTATAATTAATAATCACTTTATCTTTTAGCGATCTTGTAGGTGATATTGCCGTGGTAAAGGTAGAACCACCCTTTGAATTCAATGAATTTGTTCAGCCGGCCAAGGTACCCAAAAGAGATGCTGATCCAGATTTATCAAAAAGTGTAACACTTGCTGGATGGGGAAATGTAGATGATGCTGGTGATCAGGGGAACATTTTACAAAAAGTTCAGCTTCCGTTAATAAAGTACGATGGTAAGAAAATTACATTTATTTGTTATTAACACCCCAATTCCATTAAAATCCGCCTATAAGTATACCGTGTAAGTATGAAGTAATATTTATAATATTATAATATTGAGTAATATTAAAAACCAGAGATTTACGACGTTAGCTAACAATTTCTCAACAGTCGTACACAATATACAATTATTGTGTACAGTCAGAGAACACAATATGTTCCGTCATTTCCTCAGCATTGTCACAGAATCTGCATGTTGATTTGTTCACTTTGTCCATTTTTCAGAGATAATATTTAAGTACCCAAGTAATTTGGAAATCGACTAAAACCTCTGTAAACCGCATTGACCTCTTTGACAGAAAGGTATTGAGACGAATAACAGCCCTATAAATGAGAACGACAGGTGACGAATCAGATACAATTATGAAATATCTTTATCTTAAGATATCGATCTACATCGACTTCAATGAGCAGGCCATGTATTTAGGATAGAAGAAATCAGGCTTTAAAAAAACTGTTGAATGCAAGAATGCAGAAGAAGAAACCTATTGGAAGACTCAGAAAGCTATGGGAGGATGATAAGGATTCTTCTTCTTAGGGTGCCTGTCCGTTCCGAACGTTGGCAATCATTCTGGCTATGATGATTTTGTTGGTTGCTATACGAAATAGCTGTGTTGAGGTCTTTCTATACCATGCTCTCAGGTTAGCAAGCCAGGATATTCTTCTTCGTCCTGGGGCTCTTTTTCCTTCAATTTTACCCTGCAAAATGCATTGGAGTAGCTCGTATCTGCCTTGATTTCTCATTATATGTCCCAAGTACTCCAGCTTACGGCTCTTCACAATGTTGACCAAATCCGCGATTGTGTTCATCCTCCGCAGTACTTCTTCATTGGTGACTTTGTCTGTCCATGGTATCTTCAGCATTCTTCTGTATAACCATAATTAAAACGCCTGAAGTTTTGATGATAAGGATGAGGACGCAAGAAATTGCGTCCTTGGCAGTTGATCGTGCATTGGAATATCTACAGACTCTAACAACTGAAGAGGTTATTTAAGGAAGACCAGGGCTCGAATTGGGGTGTAGGGGCATATGATGGAACATTTAAATAAGCAATGTCCAGTATAAACACATGTGATTGTTCTGAGTTCACTTTTCTGAACTTCTAAGAGTATTTTGCGTACGGAGCAGAGGTTTGTAATAATCATGAATGTGTTGCTTGTGTGAGTCCATTTCAAATAGGTATAGAAATAATAAATAAGACTTACTCACAATCAATTTAATTTAACTATCTGACGACCGGTTTCGCTTTCTACAATATGCAAAGCATCCTCAGGTCTCGATACAAAGTTAAACAAATGCTGAAATAATAAAAACCCATATTAGGGTGTTGTCCAATAACGATACACAAAGTAGATGTTGTAAATTACAATAATTATGCCAATATTACATGTCTGTGGTTTTATTTAAATGAGTAAGTTGAATAAAAGGTATAAAAATTTTAAAAGTTTAAACAGACAAGGTAAGGCCCACAAATTGTTATAAAATAGTCTCTTCGATTGTAATAAATTAACAGATGAGCAAATAAATAAATAAAATAAACATTACTTACATGCCGGTACTCTATTAATTGATGGATGGTAGAACATGGTTGAAACTACTATATATTGTTGAATGGAGAACTCAATTCTATTATTGCAGTTGTTTGACAGTAAACGGGAAGTTCTTGAGGAGATAGATTTGATCCAATGAAGAAGAGATATGTGTGTGATTGTTTGTTAAATGAAAGTAATGTAATATATCATTGTGTTATTAAAAGCTATTTATACTTATTCGAGAGATATATTTTTGAAATGTGTGTTATTTATTGAGTAATTGTTTTAAGAAGGTGACAGTTTTATGACAATGAATAAGTTTAGATGTAAAATTGTGTGGGTGTGCAATTATTTTCAAGCGTGTAGTTATCAAATTACTTTGATAAAGTTCTATTGGCAATTAGTAAATTATTGGAAAGTCCAGTGAATAAAATATTAAAATACAAACAATTAAGGACAATTTAAACACACTAAAACAGATAACACTTAGAAGGGACGAAACAAACATTGAATTTAAAAAGGGGGGAAGGGCTTTAATGCAGTACATCGTAGTCTTGGGCACAATGAGTTTTTTTATGTTTTATCTATTAGATTTTAGTGGTAAATTTGACAGATGTAGGTTAGCATGTGACAGTTCTTCTTCTGTTTCTCAATACTGTAAGTTAAGTTATCTAGTTTTATGAAATATGCTGATATTAATGAATGTCTATAAATTGTTTCAATTTAGATATCAAAAGTAAATTGATGTGTTTAATATTGGCATACTTTAACAATCTTTAATTAATCAAATTTAATGTAACAATATGGATAATTGAAATACATCCTACAATATAACTAACTCAGTCTAATGTCCAAATTACTGAACAAATTAAATCTTCTATACCTGTTTGTAATAATCCTTTTGCTAACCTCTAGTCAAGAACATTGTGTCCGTAGATTACACCACGCTTCTTTTCTTATTTTCAAATATCTTCCACTGTAGGGTTTGTTCGTATACCACAAAATGTTTTAGTCCAATAAAAGGAGTTCTGGCTTCATATTTATCAACACCACCAGTCATATTGTTTCCTTATCCCTGTCACTTATAACAAAATTTTGTTTAGCTTCGTCAGATGTTAAATAATTGGATTGAAGTCTCAAACCGTTACAGACTTATGCTCCAAACTGTCAACTCATAATTTGTAGACTCCAGAGCCTTCAGTGATTCTTAACTGTTATAGGCAATATATATTTCTATTGCTAGCAGTTCACCAGTCGTCTGAGTGATCCTTAATGTATTGGATTGACGGTCGTACTCCTTTTCCGATATATATATATATATATATATATATATATATATATATATATATATATATATATATATATATTGATAATCCTCCTTATTCCTTGAGCACTTGTCAGGTGATACTCTAAATATTTATTTTATCATTAGAAGAGAATAGAATCTATACTTATAATATTTACGAATATCAGAACTGTGATATATAAATCTATAATATAAAACGGACTATTTTTTCAGCCTGCATGGACATAGTTCGCAAGTGGAATCCATATAATACATATGAATACAACCACACCGAAGTATGTACAGGACCAATATCTGGAGGAAGAGGACCTTGTCATGGAGATTCCGGTGGACCTTTGACTCAGGACGGTGTTCTAATCGGAGTAGTCTCTTGGGGAACTAATGGTTGTGCCAATATTGGATCAATAGCTTTGTACGCAAAAGTTAGCTCTTTCATTAATTGGATAGAAGACACTATCGACGAAGAGTTAACTTTTGCTTAATTCTAATTGAATATTTACTTCTTAATGTGCCGTCTCCATCGTTGGAGGTTTAGTGGTTATGGTGGCAAATATTTGTCTGCCTTTAGCCATACACATAAGTTCTTCAAAGCCTAGTCCTGTACAGTTTCTAATATTACTCATCTAGGACAATTTTTTCATTCAATACCTCGTTCCTTTAATCTCGTTCAATTAAGGAACGCAGTACTTTTTTCTTTCATAGAAAATGATCCAAGTTACTGGTTTTTCCTATTTTAACCGTTTTTAATAGTTTTTGTCTATATTTAGTCTATTTATAACTTCTTTTTTTTTTTTCGTGCAGTCCAAGGAATTATTAAAGTTCACCAGTACACCCAAATTCCAAATGCCTTTAACTTATTCAGACTTTTTATCTATAAGTCTACGTTTTTACAATTTTCAATCTAAATTTGATATCTATACGACTATATGTATCGCAGAGTAGACCACTCATCTTGAAGAAACTATCTCTAGCTCGAGCAATTCTCAGTAGTAATATCCCTAGGACATTGATAACAGACGAGATAATTTCATGACAATCGAAAGCTCGTTCCTTGGTAACAGCACGAAGCCTTCGGCTTCGTGCTGTTACCAAGCAACGAGCTTGAGAAATTTGTCATGAAATTATGAGGCATTCATCAATGTCCGAGGGATATTCGGCGGATAATTTTTCGAAAAAAAAATCATAACTCAACATAACGAAACATTTATTTATTAAAAGTACAGTTAGTGAAAGTACAATTATTAAAATTTAAGTTAACATTAGATTCAAACGTGACATTTTGAAATTTATTTGGATGAAGTTGTCAAACTCGATCGTGTTGTCATAGATTGAAAATTGCACTGAATGCAATTATCAGTCTAATGTTGACATGATTGGTCACATTACCAATCCAATGATATTCCACATGACACAAAATGACGAAATTTGAATGGTTGTTAGAACAGTCGAAAAATTATCGATATAATTTTTTGTTTTGGGTCAATATTGCATTTAATCTAAGTTATTTGTAATGGCTTAACTGTTTTAATTTAGTCTTTAATTTTAATAAACATTTGTAGCTATAAAGTTTTTTAACTTTCTTGTTTGCTTTTCACCTAAAACTATGGACTCAATTGCTTCATTTGTATTTATTTTATTCCAAGGATATCAATATTGGCGAAATTAAAGCTTATGTACTTGGTATTAGTTAACTAATATGTATAAATTAAGTAAAATAAACTGAATTGCTCGTATTATTGAATGAATTCAATGCCTGAATAGTAAACGAAGTAATACGTGGAATAAACCAAATTTTTCGCGATAGAATCAGAAATAAGAACAGATAGAATGATGGACTTCTGGATAACAGGACTAAGAACAACCACCATATTTTCTGACCGTAATAATTAACATAAATAAATTTCAAAATACTGTGGGGTGTACTGTGAGGTGTATACAAATAGGGGTTGTGAAAAGCCTGCCACTGCATTTTGCTTTGAGGGGAGAGCAAGATTTGAAATTTGAGGAATCTCCCACTACACCGCTGCACACAGTCCCGCATGCTGAGGTCATGTGCAGCGTCTAATAGTTTCTCCCACATCAGACTAGACCTCAGACTGTGTGCTTGTTTCCCTCGTTTTTGAAGCATTTTTGATCAAATAAGTTTACGTTTTTTACTTTTTGTACATTTACAAAACATTATCACATTTATTTGTATAACCATCTGTCTGAAGAAGATGATGATGTCATAATATGTACTGTGCTTAAAAAGAAGGATTTGAGAAATGGTATAATGCCAACTAAGGGCGTTACAATTATTTCTTAGCTCCGAACTTCTGTCCATAAAAATATAAAGAAACAACTTATCGTGTGTGTGACAGAGAAGCAGTTTCAAGGGGGAACCTTATCACAAAATATCATATGTAAGAGGACACGAGCGCGTTACGATGATTTACTGAAGCCGATCCCACATACTTCCTGAAACGAATAATCGAAACACTCGTCAAAAGCCAGTCAGTCAAAAACACAAACCTTACCTCTCGAGAGTTCTGAAAGGACCAGTTTTACATTGTGATATACCTTACAATTATTGAGCAGGCCTGTCTGGGTATTACATCAAGGACCTTAACCTCTGCATAAAGGGAGTTATGACCTGAGGCTGTAGCCGAAAGGGCTTTCGAAGGATTAAAACCAGAAGTGTCAGTGGCAGAGGAGATTGTTTTTTTTTGGGAAAATCCATGAATCTGGCGGTAGATTAGAAAGATGTGAACAAACTCGTCAAAAAATACTCTCAGATGCTGACAATTGAGGAGATACACGATCTACATTTACAGCAGCATACGATGGTTCAACGAAAAATTGGTTTTGAAGAAAGGCCAGAGATGGAGGAGGTTATCTCTACAAGAGATTTAAAGGAGATCTTGGGAATGTGAGAGAAGGTTGTAGAGTTCGGGGATAACAATCCCCGAAAAAGTAAATTTTGGTCCGAGAATGTATCGAATGGTTCTCTTGTGGGTACCGAACCTTACCAAGGGAAAGGAACCTTATTAGGAAAGAGTAACTTGGGGCTAGGTGGATCTAAAGTTACAATTTTTGCCGAGAGGGTGAAGCATAATTTTGCACACCAAAAATTTTACTGGGATATTACTAAATACAGATAGTACTGAAAACTACTATGAACAATTATTTAAATTAATCAATTTTCTAGTACAAAGTGTATGTGAGGACACTTCGTCTAACGACTAACAACCCCAGTGGAGTCTTACCTTGCCATGTAATTAATTCCTTTTGTAACCTAAATATCATAGTTTTTAATTATTAAAGATGTAACTCAAAGTTAACCAAACTACATTTAAAGGGTTTTTACCCATATATTTAGTGGCTCTAAATATGTACATCCAGATAGCACTGATGATGGATTAGTTATTCCGAAAACATTCCGTGATGTAGCCCGATAGGGTTTTTATTATTATACCTTTTATAAAGAAAATTTTAAAAACAATTTTGGTATATAGCCAACTACAGAAATTTAGTTTCCTTGTGGAGATTAGTAAGATGTTACGTGTTCTCTCTTCTTTTATATCGTATCGAAGATTAGACTTTACACCTATAGACTCTACACTTCTAAGAAAACTTGAGTCCTTTAAAATCTGGGTGTATCGGAGAATCCTACGAATAATTATTTATATAGTCCGTAACGAGGTTGTAACTTCCAAAACGTCGTCTTTACACCTGGAAATCACCAGCAGATACACCTGAACGAGTTGTTCGTAACCAAATAGACTTCATATGTATAAAAAAGAGATACATAAATTCAGTATTAGCAGTAAAAACATATCCAGGCGTAGATGTACCAACAGATCACAATATTTTAGTAGGAAAAACAAGACTAAGACTAAAGATTAAAAAGAGTTACAAAGACGAATAAGCAAACAGTTACTATTGATAAAGAAACGATGCTAAATGATACTGTAAAACAAGAAATACCTAGTATATTAGAACAAAAAATGAAGTTAACATCAAGCAAGGAAGAAAGTACTGAGGAAAACTGGACGAGAATTATAGACATCTTAAATACTGTTCAAGAAACAAAATTGAGTGCGCTAAAAGCAAGAAAAAACAAAGGTGGATGACAGAAGAAATACTGAGACTTATGGATCACAGAAGAGAAGTCAGAAATAAAGATAAAAACGAATACAAGAGGATCCACGCAATAATCAGGCAGAAGATAAGACACGCGAAAACACAATTTCATAGTAAAGAATGTAATGAAATTAAACAATATGAAAAGAAACACGATACATTTCATCTACACAGGAAATTAAAAGAGGTCGCTGGAAACAAACGGAAACAAGTATCCCATACATTTTTGAATTATTTGAATATAAGAGAGTAGAACATTATACACCGATTGCTATATCAGGTCCATATATAACAGAAAGTGAGGTAAGACGTTCAATACAAACGGCAAAAAATGGAAAAGCACTTGGCCCCGATGAAGTAAGTTTAGAAATACTAAAGTTTTTGGGAGAAAATGGAATTAAAGCTCTGTGTAATCTCTTTAACAGAATTTATGACACTGGGATATTACCAACTGATTGGTTAAAGTCGACATGTGTCACAATACCTAAGAAACATCGTCCAAAGACATGCGGTGATTATCGGACAATAAGTCTGATGAGTCACGTTTTGAAAATCTTCCTGCGAGTAATACACAGCAGAATTTACACGCTGTTAGAGGACAGAATTAGCAATACTCAATTTGGGTTTAGGAGTGGCTTGGGTACAAGAGAGGCCTTGTTTAGTATACAGATGATAGTACAGAGATGCAGAGATATAAATCAAAATGTGTACATTTGTGCAATCGATTTTGAAAAAGCTTTTGACAAAGTCCGACATAACAAAATGCTAGAAATATTGGAAACAGCTGGATTGGACGATGAAGATCTACAAATAATTACAAATCTATACTGGCATCAAGTGGCAAGAATAAAGGTTGAACAAGAACTGTGGGATGAAATAAATATAAAAAGAGCCTTTACTTTTTAACTTATATTCTGAGGAAATATTTAAGGAAGCCTTAATGAAGACAACCGAAGGTATTATTGTGAATGGAGTAACCGTCAACAATATTAGATATGCCGACGATACCTTAGTCCTTGCCAATTGCGGAGAAGACCTTCAAAATCTAATGAACAAAATAAAACAGACTTGTGATCAGTATGGATTAAAACTCAACGTTAAGAAAACTAAATATATGATAGTTAGCAAACAAAATTATATACAGGATGACGGTATAAAAGTCGGAGATGTCACACTGGACAGAGTAGAGAAACTCTGCAGTATCTCGTCAGTAATATCAATGAGAGCTGGGATCCAACCGCGGAAATTAAAAGCCGAATAGAACAAGCCCGAGCTGCTTTTGTAAAAATGAGAAACGTACTTTGCAGTCACGATCTTAGCATTGACCTTAGAGTTCGTATGACATCTTGCTACATCTTCC